AAAAAAAAAAAAAAAAAAAGCTTTTTAGGGGGGGGGGGGGGGGGGTGATTGACTAATTAAATTCAATGCATCAGTGACCAACCATCCCTAAACTTTTTAAAAGTGAAAACTGAACATCGCTAAAGACTGGTTACCTAATTTCACACCCCTATATAACCAAGCATAACTGGCTTTTGATTTGCACATGCAGGTGACTGACACTGCCTTCTGTTCCTTACCAGTTAGTGTCGGTTGATCAAAGGCTGCATTGACACATGGCTGTATTATCCATAATGTGGTTGGAACCTGCTGAATTCAGGAGTCATAGTTCAGGTTTCAATTAGTTAAGTTAACTTAAACATTCACCACATTTCCAAAGGAAAGTGCAAATGAAGCTATAAGAGCTTGGAACTCTCCAGAATTCACCTGAATAAACCTCACGTTAAAGTCAACTACAAGCTGACTGCCATCAATGTACAGGATAACAGCACATTCAGCTCCTCCAAGATGCTGTTAATCCATAAAGTTAATGTTGATCTTAATCGCATGAAATTCAAAAGGAGTTAGGGTTTCAGAAAGGAGGTTAAGTGAAAGAGCACATTAGTAAGGCCGCTGCATGCAGAGCAATAAGGAAAGTGTGCCTCGTTCTCATGCTCATTTTATAATATTGTGGTTTCTTTGCCACGAACCCATCAAAATTAAGCTGATTACTGTATGAAATGGAAGGATGCCAGATAAAAAAGGCAGTTTGAGATATTGGCTATGCTGCAAATATCACCACAGCTGTTAAATTTGGTCATCTTTGTTTCCTACTAATACAAAAGCAACAGTCATTCTTTTTCCTGTTGGATTTTAATATTCTTCCAATATTTGGTATTGTGGCCATCTTCGCTTTATCTGTTCTTCATTATTTTGCAAGTCTTCTTGCTGTTGGCTGAGTACAAGTCAAATGTTAGGCCAATTTCATTACTCTAAGAAATGCAACAGTTTGGATTAGAGAACATTTAATTATGTGAAAAGAGCATTAGACTATGTGGGGGGGAAAGCTGCTGCACATTGAAATAGACACGGAATGATATTTAATATGTCAAATGTTTGTAAAGTCATGTAACCTTCACTCATGAACCTTTTATGCTTAAAGCGTTACCTGATTGAATTACGTTTTAATACTTAATTGTTTTTACTTTTTCTTTTGCCTGTGGGATACCATGAAAAATTTATATTAAATTGACCATTCTGCCAATTTTTACCTTTGATATTATAACAGTGATTAAGAATTAAAGTTATGTATTGACTCGGAAGTATGCAGACGTCTTTTTGTCGGGTGCTGTTGCCGTGGTGAATCATAACGTCGGAGCTCAATTGATCATGGCTTTTCATAGTCGTGGTGCACACGCTAAACTGAGTCAACCTACTCCGAGTTGATTGAACTCAATTCAGCCATTCTGAACCTGAAAACTCAGAGTTTCCCATCTCAGGGTAAGTCAACTCCGAGTTAGGTTTGTTGAACCTCCTTATTGAAACGGGCCCCAGATCTAACATCTCACAAATACCAAAACTGTTTAACCTCACCAAATGCCACAGTGAAGTAAATGGTTTCTTATATAATGCCCAGGAAAGTGAAGGATCTGAAAGCAAAAACCAGAGCAGATTATGTGAAACCCATGACATTCATACACCGTCAAGCAATAAGATCTGCATTTGAGCCTTAAAAGTTACCACTCAATGTATATAGTCAGAGCCCACATTACAATAAAGAAACATTTGTCACCGTCATAGCGCTTCTAAATGAATTATTCCTTAAAGTCAGTTTGTCTGTGCATAAACAAACAGTTCAAAAAGCAAAAGGAAATTATTCTTAGCCAAAAAAAACAAAACTACATGAATATACCACAGATGAAGAGGAAGAAACAAAAGGCACAAAGAATAAAAAAAGGCAAACATGATATAGGTCAGGGTTCCTCAATTCTTGCCCTGGAGGGCCAATGCACTGCAGAGTCTAGCTCCAACCCTGATCAAACTCACCTACCTGTGATTTTCTAATGATCCTGAAGACACTGATTAGCATGGTCAGGTGTGTTTGATTAGGGTTAGAACTAAACTCTGCAGGAAAGTGGATCTCGTGGGCCAGATTTGAAGATCACTATAGACTAAACTTTTCATCTGATGGAATTTCTCTCTTGATGCAGTTCAGCTGTCACATTCAATTAGCTTCACATGCTTTCTTCCACCTTCAACAGGACTGTTAACAAACCAAAAAACAACTCCTGGTTGGCTCATAACATTCATTACTGGATAGAGGTTTTCATTTATAAAAAAAAAATAAAAAAATACAATCAAGGTATATAATCACATAACAAATGAATGAGGAAGAAAAGAGCTTACCCTTCAATTATTAAAGCAGGTATACTTTCAAGTGTGACAATCTCTTTCGGCATCCTTACACCACAACTGCCATCTCATACTAACCCATCTGGCCCATAGCTAGTGGGCATTTATAGCGACAGGCAAAACCATTGACAATCACACAAGCTAACAACTAAACTATATAACTATATGCGCTATTCAACAAATTATTTATCAGTCATGTATACAAATTCCATCATTGGTAAGGCATTCAAATTTTAAAATAACAAACAATCCCCTTCATCCTCTGCACTTGGTTTCTCCCACCTCCCATATTGCACCACAGCACAGATATTCCAGACAATTAATTAAATATATATATGATTCAGGTTTAGTGTCTAGAATATAATTTGTGTGAATGGGAATGATCTACCTAGTCTGGAGCATGAAGAGCTAATTGTAAGTGTTAGAGGAGCTGAACACGCAGCGCTATCATGAGCATGTGCTCTGAGTGCTCCATAGATTGAAGGGAGTATTTTTTTAATCCTTCTCATCACCTATGTAAGGTTAATTTGACATCCAGTACAGTAGGGGGCGATAACGGTCCTAAGGAGTTAGAATATTCCAGACATTCCAGACAAGAAATATTCCATATTCCAGACATTGCAGCAGTGCCTCTGGTTCTTCATGTGGTTTGCAGTAAATTGGCACATTTGAGTTGGTTTGGATTATATTGTGCTGTTTTCTAATGGTGATCAGTGTTGGGCAAGTTACTCTGAAAACGTAATAAAATTACTGATTACTCCTTTTAAAAGTAATCATGTTACTGTTCTGATTGCTTTATTTCAAAAGTAATTAGTAATTGGTTACATTACTAGTTACGTTACTTTTTTCTCCATGAAATTTATAAAATCCCAGCATACACGCTCCCGATAAATATTTGTTATTAAAGCATCAACATTCACAGAACACTGTTATTTTTAACTAAAGCCAGCAGCTGCTGCGTGCATGGTTCGGCATGACAGAATGCCAGCAAAGAGCGCTGCATTTATAATCTCTAAAAGACATCTCAGTTCATCGCAATCTCACAAATCTCTGTTATTATAACACAATAAATATATGCATAATGAATCTTTCATAATGTATACAATTCGTGTGTTATAATGAGAGGATTCGTGAGCACTCACATTTCAGCACTGCATTGCGCTGCAAACACGTGTTATAGCCTAAATAGAAACTCTGCATACGCTTGCACCTGTTAATCGTTTATATTTTATATTAGTTCATGTTGCTTTTGTGCAATAGATGAATAACAATTTATTTGTTTTAGATATTTTGTTTAGATACTTCTATTTTGCGGGAGTCCCGTGAATCATTTTATTCTCCCACATCCCACACACACACGAGTGTCTACCCGCCCGCAGCAGCACTCGCTCATCTTGTCTATAATCTCTCGATTATAAAACACTGCATTTTGTCAGCAGTGAAACGCGGCAGTAACGTATAGAGACCTCGGCTTGTAACTATACTCTAATTACTATTTTGAAAATTATAACGCATTAAATTACTCCATTACTAAAATAATAATCAAATTACAGTAACATGTTACTAAGTAATGCGTTACTGCCCAACACTGGTGGTGATTCAGTTTTTATTTTTTACTGAAAATTGAGTGTTTACCATTGTAATTTTGCATTAATGACACACTATTTTCCTAATTAATACTGTAAAGTTGCTCTGACACAATCTGTATTGTTAAAAGCGCTATATAAATAAAGGTGACTTGACGACTTGACTTTACTTGATGAGATGAAGTTTCATAATTTTGGAACTTTGGCTAAACTTCACTAAAACGATACAATGCCACGCCCACTACTGGTAGAAAACCAAGTTAATTTTTATTTATTCCTATGAGGAAAATATGGACAAATATCCAATAATTCCCAGGGAACACACATACTGGTAAAAAATGTTTAGCCTGAATGCACTGTAAGTCGCTTTAGATAAAAGCGTCTGCTAGATGCATAAATTATTATTATTATTATTATTATTAAATACACAAAATAATGTTCTTTTTAGCAACATCATATGAGTCCTTTAATATATCTCAGAGGGGACATGGATGCATTTAACCTGCAGTTACAGATGCATAAATAGGCCTATTGTTTTGTTTTTAACATAAAACGTTGAATACTGATATTTGAAATTATTTAAAACATGAAATGACATGTGAAATTAAAACCGCCAGTAGGTGACCGCAAGTGACTGTTAATGAGGGAGTCATTGAGATTCAACCGATTCATTCAAATGACTGATTCATTCAGAAACAAAGCATTTGACTGTGTTAATGAGTTAATCACTGAATCATTCATTCAACCGATTCGTGCAAAAAGCTGATTCATTCAATAAGTAAACACCGTCCATTGCTCAGAGATGCAAAACAGTCCTGTTATCTTTGTTTGGAACTATTTTCGTTGGCAAAATTGAGCAAAAACAAGCAATATTATGTCTAAAATGTAAGTCACTTATTGCTATACTGAACTTGTATAAAATGATTATTAAATGTGTTCATGCTGATATGTGCAGAAAAACAGTACTCTTTGTATAGGCCCTTTCGCACCGCTTTAGTTCCAGAACTAAATGTACGGTACTAAAGTACTGGGACGATTTTGCGCGAACTATTTCCCAGTACCAGGGTTGCATTCGCACCGACAGTAGTGTGTACTAGGAAGTGACGTAAGCCGGTCGACAGCGACGTCATTTGTGCGCGGCGTTCAACAACGAAAACAAATAAAAACAGCATTAACAACAGGAGGATGGAGGACGCTGTGATCGGAGCTGTGTGTTTGTTGTGTCTCGCGGGTTTCACAATAATGGACATGGAATGTCAACATATACATAAAGCGATTGATAGAAGAATCTCCAACGACAACTGCCAGTGCTACATTTGCTAAAAGTGCCTGCGCTTCAGCGTCCGTCTATCTATCGCTGTTCTCCATACTTGCGAAATAAGTTGACACAATGTTTACAGTATGTTTACACGGAGTTTTAAATCATGGCGGGTGAGGGTGTTTTCATACGCGTTTGGCCAATCAATGTCTACTTACGTCACTATTAGTACCAGTTGTGCTGGTTAGACCCTGCTCCAGAGTAGGAGCTAATTTGGTTCTCGAAAAAGGCAGTCCGGTACTAAAATCGCACCCAGTTCCGGCGGTGCGAACACGCCGAAAAGTGGGTAGTGCCACAATTAGTTCTGGTACTATGAAAAGGTTCCTGCGGTGCGAAAGGCCCTTATGATATAGATTAAGTTAACTATATTAAATTATATAAATGTAAAAAGCATACAGAAGCATTTTTGCTGTCTACAATTTAGAATGCCTGGAATTTTGAGTTTTAATAGACTAATAAATCAACGTGTGTCCACTCTGGGTGTGATTTGGTGATTACCTATTAAGCTAGAAGTTACTTGATAATGTCAGGTCGCACATCATTACAACAACACTTACCATATTATTGCAGACGATGCTGTATCGCACACCCCAGACTCGACTTGAGTGGAAAATGAATCATCCGCGGTTGTGCGTGCACTTGTTTGCACATGAGCAAAGGTGTTTTTAGGAGTCTAACTTGCAGACATCAGACCACTGATTCGTCAAACCTGATTTCCTGCAGTCCATGTTCTTCTGACTTCTGACTATTTTGTAGTAAGTAACGAATATGCTTCAGGGTAATGTATCGGAGTAAAAGTATACATTTTAATTAAGAAATCTAGTGGAGTAAAAGTAAAAGTTGGCAGAAATATAAAAACTCAATTAAAGTACAGATACTCCCAAAAAATACTTAAGTACTGTAACAAAGTATTATTACTTCATTACAATACACCACTGCTCTCAGTGTAGTGCTTCAGAGGAAACCTGTAGGATAAACTATCAGCTGCTATTTGATTTTGATTTATTAGTTCAACAGGTGTAAGTGAATTATGAAAAATAATACAAAATAATAAGTCATAACAAAACCACATTAGAAGTATTAATAAAAATAGACAGACATACTGTATGTTAGAGCAATTAAAAATCATCAGAAGCACAAGGTTCGGATTGTTTCCATGTTATAGAATCTAAATTACAATCTAAATGTCTAATTGTTGATCAATTTCAAGAGATTTGTGACAAGTCCATCTCACCTGAATGCACTTGAACTCATCTGCAGTTTTATTTATTTGACTGAAACTCTTCTAAATCACATTCTAAAACTAAAGCACTGTTATCCCACTCACTATCCTGTCCTGATTTTTATTTTGGCCCTCTAATCTATTTGTGGATACTTGAAAGAAACAGACATATTTAAAACAGTGTGGACAGAAATTACGTGATTTTAAAAATCAGTTTTGCTCATTTGCAGAGAAACAGCTTCTTCAGACATACCTTCATGCTGAAAACTTTAAATCAGTCCATTGCAAATCTTTGTTTTGGGCCTATGAACATTGAGATTGCCAATGATGTTACAGCAAAACCCCGAAATAACATGTTTTGTTAAAGGGCTTGTTGGAAAGATTCATCAGGGTGTATCTGTAAATTTTTCTTACTCAGGAATACCAGGCTGTGTGGCTTCTTAACATGGGTGTATAAGGTATTACACAAACAAAGAAACTGTGCTGTGTAAAACAGGAAAATCTGCTGGATTACTGTCTATGTCCTGGTTATGAAGTACGTGGCGTGCCTGTACTAGTCATCATTCTTTTCTGGTCTGACAAGCAATGTTCCCTCTAATCTGCGCACACACCCAAAAATGAGTTGGGAAAGCCATTTGATTGTATTCTAGTAAAAACAAAAGAATTGCAATGATTAGGTTAACCACTATAAAGTTAATGTCGCTATAGAGTTAGAACCGGTGAATGCGGTTTACAGGTTAGGTAGATAGTGAATGATGTGCGCCAAATAAGTCTCTATAGAAACCGAATACTTCAGTGGTTGCGGACGAAATAGCTTAAATCGAGAGCCAACGGAAATGCAATGATGTGAAATAAAACGAGTGGCTTGATTAAGTGCTGGAAACAGCGGATGATGGGCACAGAATGGTAACAAAACTCAGAGACATTTACAGTCACACACAGGTGTATTGTGCAAACTCTACTTCATAGGGATGTTTAGATGGCTATAGAAGAATTCACGTTCATGTTTTTTTTTTTTTGAAAATATTTAACTTGCAGATCTCAGTTTAAAAGCTTCAGTTTGTTTTGATATTATATTATATTATGTTAGGCCTATATTATGAACCTAATAAATAATAATTGACCTTGTTTTTTAATGGAGTCACTTATGCTCATCAAGGCTGTTTATTTGATCAAAAATACAAAACAAAAAACAGTAATATTGTGAACTATTAGGCTATTGCAATTTCTAATATTAGTTTCATATTTTAATATACTTTAAAATATAATGTATTCCTGGTGAAGCAAAGCTGTGAAGCATCATTCCTCCAGTCTTCAGTGTCTTATGATCTTCAGAAGTCATTCTAATATGCTGATTTATTATCAGACCTGGAAACTGTTGGATAAAAGTATTAATTAAAATAAGAAAAAAAAGAAAAAATGTACTGACCCCAAACTTTTGAATAGTATAGTGTATATTGTAATACAAAATTTTCTATTTGGAATAAACACTTCTTTTTAACTTTGTATTTATCAAAGAATCCTGAAAAATATCACAGGTCCCAAAAAATGTTAAGCAGCACAACAGTTTCCAACATTGATTATAAATTAGCATATTAGAATGATTTCTGAAGGATCATGTGACACTGAAAATTCAGCTTTGCTTTATAGGAATAAATTACATTTTAAAGTATATTAAAATAGAAAACTTTTATTTTTTGTGAAATAATATTCAGTATTTTTAATCAAATAGATACAGCCTTGATGAGCCTAAGAAACTTATTTTAAAAATTTACTGATCCCAAATTTTTTTTTAACGGCAGTGTATTATACTGTAAAAATATTTTCTCAGGTAAAATGTACATAATTTAGTTCAATCAAGGGTCAAATAAAATATAAATAGCACATTAAAGTTAAAAGTAACACACTTTTTTGTGTACGCGCTGTACAGGTCTGGTATAAAGAATGCCGAAATGTCCGCCCAATAGAGAAAAGTTTTGCTCGGCAAGAAATAAAATTAGAGGGAACATTGCTGACAAGGTAAAGCTATCATTCTGCGGCCATTAACTAACCTATCGTTGGGTGTTCTGCAACGGATCATTTCTAAACTTCAGAGCTCTGGATGAGAAAGACTTAAATTATGATCAGTACAATCATCTTTCCAATATCTTATAAACTAGAAAGCTTCCTCAAATGTTTGGATCAAGTAATGAATATTTAAATAGATTCAGATTTCATTAATACAGATCTATCAGTAAGGATTCAAAAATACTTTTTAAAGTTATTGGAATTTTTTTCTTGGCACATAGAAACTAAGTGCAGTATGTATTATAATTCAGTATGAAGGATATTTATGGTGAAACAAATAAATTGGAAATACAGTACAATCATAGAGTACATTACAATAATAGCTTGAAACTCTTCTGGCAGTATATGTATGTATTAAACTGTTTGGTAGAAGTTGAAGTCACCGTTTAGAATATTATGTAAGTAAAGGTTTTAAAAGTATGTGATATTTATTGTACTTAAGTATGAAAATAATTTTGTAAATATTAAACATAATTAAGTATTGGAAGTAAAAGTACAAGTAAATGCAAAATGGAAAAGGAGCAAATAAATATTAAAAACAGTTTATACACAGTTTGAGCAGCAAGATTGTGTTCAGTTTTAACTCTTTCTGCCATTTTGTATCTTTGGGTTAGCATAAGAAGCACTTCATCTGGTACTTATAGTCTCTTTCATTCCAACATAAGAAAACATTTCTGGAATTTGCATCTGAAGAGACATTTAGATGTATTTACACAGTTTAATGTAGCTCAGAGGGTTACAAATGCATAAATAATGCTTTGTTTTAAACATAAATCGTTGAATACTGTCATTTGAAATTACTTAAAACATGAAAAAATACTTGAAATGTGAAATGAAAAGCTCCAGTAGGTGGCAGCAAGACACTGTTAATGAGTGAGTCACTGAGATTCCAACGATTCATTCAAACGGCTGATTTACTCAGGATCGAAGCATTTGACTGTGTTAATGTGTGAGTCACTGAATCATTCATTCTTCAAAAAGCTGATTCATTCAATCAGGAAACACCATCCTGTGTGTTGCTCAGAGACGCTAAACAGCGCTGTGATCTTTGCTTGGAACTATTTTCGTTGGCAAAATTAAACAAAAACAGGCAATATTGTGTCTAAAATGTAAGTCACTTAATGCTAACTTTTTAAAACGTGTATAAAATCAGTATTACATTTGTTATGTTGATGTCTGGAGAAAAAAGGGCACTCTTCGTGTGATGTAGATTAACTATATTAAATTATATAAATATAGAAGATATACAGAGGCATTTTTGCCGCCTACAATTTAGAATGCCTTGAATTTTGATGATTCTAATTGAGTTTTAATAGACTAAATCACATACACGCACTCTCTGGGTGTGTTTTTTGTGATATACTCGATAATGTCACATTGCACATCGTTAAAACAACACTTACCGTGTTATCGCAGACGATATATATGTATGTTGCACACCCCAGCATCGAAGTGAGTGGAAAATGAAATAATCCGCGCTTGTGCGAGCACATGAGCAAAGTTCTTGTTTTAGGAGTTCAGCGCCAGACCACCGATTCTTCAAACCTGCTTTCTTGCAGTCTGTGTTCTTACGGTTTTATTTTGTAGTAACAAATGTGCTTCGGGGAAATGTATCGGAGTAAAAGTTTACATTTTAATTAGGAAATGTAGTGGAGTAAAAATGAAAGTTTACAGATGTAAACAAAAGTAAAGTACAGATTCTCCCAAAAAATATTTAAGTACTGTAACAAAGTGTTAGGCCTATTACTTACACCACTGCACTTGACGACTGAATCATTCTTATGTATGAACTTTGAATTACCATTGTGAATAAAACGTGCTCCATGAAAAGCCCCGTCTGGCCATGAGTTCACATAAACCAACAATTAAAACATAGAGAGAGAACGTGTCCTATATATGAATAACCCTTCATAGCAGCTTTTCGTTTGTGGGAACAGTGTTTGTCCTGCTCCATCCGTACACGCGACATTCAGGCGATGATGTGCTGCCACAATGTAATGGAAATATAGAATTAGTCCTTTTTTGCAGGTTAGTATACTGTAAATAAATACTCTTTTTGGTTTGTGAGTTCTGAAATGTACAGTTTTTATAGTACAATATCACACAATATCTCAACGAGGATCATGAAAAACTTGAATCTCCATGCTATGAGAGAAACATTACACAAATAATTAAACAGTACATAAACATTGTTCCACAACCCTTGAATATCATATCTTAAAATGATTGTGAATGCAGTACTTCCAGTATTAAAGTTTCCCTCATTATATTTAAATGAATTTGGCAAAGGTGTCACTAATCACAGTATTATTCTGCCAAATAAAGTCTGCAAGTGCTGACAGTAGTGAAGATCGATGTATATCACAAATGACTGTTGGGAAAGCTCCAGATAACCCATATACAAAACAAAGATATAGAATGGATATATGGGAACATAAGTTCACAATTTTACATGAACTCTAGTTCAGGACACTCAACAGTACGAAAGTTTAAGTAAGTAACAGCTACTCTTCTAATGTCGGTTGGTGTTATTTACGAACAATTTATTTTAACAAAATAAAACCAGTAATTTACAAGTGACAGGACAAAAATGTAACACTGTTTCTTCTAAACTAAATTTAAAGTCAGTTGTTATTATTCAGAGTTCATAAGACATTACAGTCTCTCTTAAAAGAAAGGTTTTATACAGCCTACTGTATGCTGTGTTCAGTTATTACCTGCTCAACACCTAAAGGAAGAGAAACAATATCATATCATCAAGTTTTGGAAGACTACTTTAAAATTCAGTATCACAATACATATTGTGCAATAGCAGAGCAGATACTGCATTGAGAGCATTTCTTCATCCAAAGAGGTTCGATTTGGGTCTTAAGAGGTTTGGAGACTCCTCTGTAGAATCTTTCTCGAATCTATCGAGGAGAGAAGTGCTGTGAACTATCTGCGACCTCATGCGGATTTTATTGAGACTGGGTTTCATTTTAGTAAAGGAAGATTTCCTGCGGAGAGACTTCTGTTTAATCAAGCCGCTGCCGTCCTCTTCGCTGCTGTTCTGAGTCTTCAGAGGTCTGAAGTTGGACTGAATAACTCTCGACAATCTCCAGCGACTCGCGTCTCCAGCATCCACGCGGTCTGCGTCTGACTCCACGCAAGCGCCCGCGATGTCCAGGATGTTCTGCGCAATATCGCTCTTCAGATACTGACACGCTTTTCTCCCGCTGTAATCCCGCGCCTCCACATCGGCGTCAAACGCTCCGACTAACAGTTTGACGACCTCGAGGTGATTGTGCGTCGCAGCCAGATGCAGAGGCGTGTAGCCCGCGCTGGACCGCGCGTTGACGTTCACAGCGACTCGATGTGCTTTGGCAAAGTTGACAAGCATTACGATCAGTTCGTGTTTCCCGAGCTTAGCAGCCCAGTGCAGGCAGGTGAATCCTGTCACGAAGTCTTTCCTGGTCAGCAGGCTGGGATCTCTGGCGAGCAGCCGGTGGAGGCTGTCCCAGTGTCCGTCAGACGCGCACAGCATCCACTCGTGCTCCAGCGGCTCGAGCGTCCCTGCTGCGGCCTCATAGTCGCCGTCGCCCCGCGGACACTCTGTGCATCTGCCCGAGAGACACACGCTGCGACGAACCTGAGGTGAACGGTTCATCAAAGCCTCGACCAAATGTTTGCGGCTGTCTTTCGGAGTGTCGCAGACGGAGTCCGGCTGATCTTCTTCTGTCAGTGTATTGCTCCGCCGAAGTCTCACACGCTGAGGTCTGTTTTCTTTCCCAGCCTCTTCCTGGGCTTCGTCTTTCACTTCACCAGCGTGTGTTTCGTTGCTCTGTAAGCATGCCGGATTGCACACGGTCCCGTCGGAGTCTCGCACTGAAGTCTCGGGTCTCGGACCTTTATCTGCCGCCTGTGGTTGATTAATTTTCACACTTGAAGCAGGTTTGTCCTCCGCCGTGCTGCTGCTTGAATTCCCCATGAGTTCAGGTTCGGTCCTGCTGTTCAGTCGCTCTGGAAACCTGGCAGAAATATCCGGCTGTGTTCGTGCACCTCCCGCTTCAGCAGTTGCGTCACCTGAGCCAGGTAACATCGCTTCTTTTCCTCCACTTCTGCTTTCAGAGGCCTCTGAGGACACGCGGGTTCTGCTTTCCGCGACATTTTCTCCACGGGATTTGCGATCATCAGCTGGACCATTTCGGTCACTCTTCTCGATTGAACCGGTTGATTTCCTAAATTTCTTTTTAAGGCAAACGTATTTCTCGCCATTTTCCTCTGTGACGTAAGCTACACTGTCAACATGGCGTTTAAAAGCTTCCTTTGCCACTGCTTTTAATGCAGGATCTTTAGGGATTGTCGCACGAAAATGATCCGTTAAATGCACGGTTTTCACGCGCCCTCCTCTCTCCTTTATGAAATGTAAAACCGCTTCTTGGTTGCATTCGGTCGCCATCGGATGTATTCGTTAAGCTTACGAAATACTGTCTCTGTAAATGAACTATCACCGAGTAGGTAACCGAAATCTACCCAGTTAATGCCGATGTAAACAGACAACGCTGCGTCTGCCGTTGATCCGGTCCTGCAGCGCTCGGGTTGTCCTGCAGGGGGCGCGCTGCGCTTCTCTGCTCGAGAGTCAAACGAACGGATTTATCGGTGAAACGTAACACTGTGTTCTGTTAATGTTTCATGGAAGATGCCTAATATGTCCAAAGTCTAGAAAGAAGCGTTAACGAGCACTGAGGTGACTGTGATTCAAGTAAAAGATCATGTTTATTTTCCAAGTGCTAACAGTTGGTTTGTCCCTTAATAAGATAGCAGTTTCCTCTGAAAATGTTTTCTAGAGTCAGTTTGGTAAATATTTACTGACTCCGTTATTTAACAGTTCCAAAGTGTTCTTCTTAAAAACGAAGTTAAATAATAATCTTTTAAACGATGGTCATGTGCAAACAGGCAAGCATTTATAGTTGCAATAACACGCAATGATGATCCTTGTAGTTTGTGCATGATGATATGCTAAAGTGTGATCTGAGCAAATATGCTGGCAAACATCTGTAATCATTCCAAGTGACTGATGAAAAGCTACAGAACAGTCTTTCTCAGACCTTTTTCTGAACTTGGATTTTCTCTCAGATCAATCTGGATGACAAACCATTAGTTTCAAAAGTGGGCAGGCCACACAAATCTCTCTGCTGTTTTTTGTTAAGACCCTGCAGTTGTAGCTTGATTCCCAATCTGGCAACCACTTCATCGCCCAGCTGCTTGGACAGCCTGGAAATCTTTACAGCATTCTTCCACCTTTGAAACAGTACCAAGCTATGGAACATGTTATCCGTCTCTGATGCAGAGAAGCTAGTTCATGCATTCAGGACCTCTAGACTGGATTACTGTAAAAACTATTAGGTGGTTTTCCTGCATATTCAATAAACGGAGTTAGTCCAAAATGCAGCTGCTAGATCATATCACCACAATGTTATCATCTCTACTTTAGCTACCTGTTAAGTTTTATATCTATAATAAATAATACTTCTACATAAGCCCCTAAATGGTCTGGCTTCATTGTATTTAACTGATCTTCTATTGCACTACAATCCATCACAGTCTATAAGGTCACAAAATTCTGGACTATTGATCGTACCAAGGATATCAAAGTCCATGAAAGGAGGTAAAGCTTTCTCTCATTTGGCTCCTCAACTCTGGAATAGCCTTCCTGATGATGTTCGGGCCTCAGACACACTCCATGATGAGTTCAAGGTTTTTCTCCAATACCTCAGCACTGATTTTTTTCCCCTCTTAACACAGTCACCACTGGCTTCTTGATTGTGATGTTTGAAACATGCATTTTCTGTAAAGCAGCTTCGAAACAATATGTTGTAAAAAGCGCTATTCAAATAAATGAATTGAAATGAATGCCAGGTCCTACATCATTTAGACTAGTCATATATAGGCCTATATCACCACATACATTAATCAAAGCAATTCAGCACAGTTTCTTCCAGATGTGTATGTACTGTTCTGCACTTCATGTTTCTGCTATCGCTTTGTGTGGTGTAGTCATGAAATTAATTGATCAATCTTTATGATGAATCTTTGATGTAAACCCTGTGAACCTAGTAATTAGTAGAGCCACATTTACATTAAAGAAAAAAAACTTTTTGGCTACTAATAAGGTGCCTGTGTGTGTGTGTG